GACATTCTGTATTTGAATGAGGCCGAGTAGTTGTGTATATAAATGCCAAAATTTGACAGCGATGATTTGCGTGTATTTCTACTAATAGCCATCACAGTCTTTCAAACATGAACCCAACGTTTATTGTTTGTTCATAACCGGTTTACTTACTGATAAACATAAATCCCCAATAAATTTTGCACCTTAGAGTCTTATTAAATTTGAAATATGTCGACCGAATTCTATGCATATGATTGCAACTGAAAATCACCCACATACTATTTAGCCGCAATTATCAAGCATTTGCTACATAGCGTGAAATATTTGGGTATTTTTGTAGCGTAACGGAAGGAAAGCCCTGAAAATCCCTCCGAAGCATTTTTTAGACAGTACTATCCTTAATTTGTTGCTTCTACATGTTCTGTATTTTAACATTTATTCAGATCTCTTTTAAACATGCTTTATAATGATATCGTTTAGCTTGCTCACGATTATTCGTTTCATTCTATCCCGATCCCATGTTAAATTACTATTACTGATTTCAAATTCGCTGTTGACGAGTTGGCGAGTGGAAATATACTCAACATTGTTACGTCAACTTTGTGTTTCACAGACCAGAGTAATGATCATGTTTGTTCATGTAGTCAATGGATTTGTCATATTATGATGTAAATTTTATCTAAAAAACTAGATTATACTGTGAATTTCGCTATGAGTGTGTGTTCAATTGAAGCACCTGAATGCGTTACTCCGGAAACGCTGTGCATGCTAGAAGTATAGTAAAACAAATGCACCCCATAAACAGTGAAATTATTAATATTCAATATAAAAGTTCAAATCAGCAAAATGTCTTCAGTTCTCCTCTAACACTGATATATAATTTGTTTTTAGGGTTTATAGGTTCAATTATCTAAATTCAACTGCTTTGATAGTTACATCTGTTTATTCTTGTATAAATGACTATCGTATAACTGAGTCTAAGCGATATAATGCTCAAAGGAACTATAGAAGCAAGTCAATTAGTAAGTAGAACTGCCCGATCCTTCATTTCCATTAGTGTGCCCAAGCGCCAGAACCAGAAAACGATCAGTGTGAGATTATGCGTACATTACAGTGTAGCTGGCTCCCAGATCCACACTAAATACAAGAAGCAGATTTTCGTTTGTTCAGTGTTCATGAACAACGTTATGCGTCCGAGTCATCTAATAATATTATATAGCACATATTCGATAACATCTGAAATATATCGGTAGGGTTTCTGAGTTAGACCCAAGTTGTAAGGTGGATGCGTCTTGACGTTCTTTGAGTTTTATCAGTAGTATCAATCCCGAAATATAACTGTCGACTCGTAAAAAAACATATTTATTGATGTTGAAAAACTCATAGTGTGTAGCAGTGAATAGTTAGCGGAAAACAAATGTTACTCCTTTTGATATCCAATACCGTTGGCAGTTCATAACGTGTCCATGTTTAATAATAAGCAATTAGCAACAAAGCCTGACCTGTGGCTCTTCTTAGGTTATTGCCGGTTTCAAGCTCGAGTAAAGAAGTAGGGTCAAACGTAGGCTTGACAACCACAACCTATGAAAAACTACCTTGCTAAAAAACGCTAACCAGAGTGAACGAAAATACATCATTTAAACTCTAACCTCCAAGGTGATGGGTCTTAATTCGGAACAATTATGACTCCAAATGATAAAAGATAAGATTCTTTGGGAGGGACGAGGCCGACGCCCCTTATAACAAACAGAGCAACAATTAATTTGGGGAAACAGAATATCCGGACAATGTGTGAGAGTGAAAGGACCCATCAAATAGTTACGGAAATGAGGAGATACAACTTGGCAGTACTCGGAATCAGTGAAACCGATTGAATCCAATCTGGACAGCAAATTACTAGATATGGAGGTGGTGCCGTTGTACTCCAGGCACGAAGAGGGAAATGCTCCATACACTCAGAGTTTCTCTGGTGCTGTTCCATGGAGCAAGTGAAGCACATATGAGAGGGGAGTCTCATGTACCCACAGTCATCCAATCATCATCCAAAACAAAGAACGAGGAAATCACAATGAACTTTGTCTAGTGGTATGCACTCGGCAATGAAGACGATAAAGATCCGTTCTCTGAGAGGCTGCAGTCGATCATACTGAAGTGCTCAGAAACGGACTTGACCATCCTGATGGGTGACGTAAACGCCAAAGTCGGAATGGACAACACAGGGTATGAAGATACGATCGGACGACATGAACTGCCTGGAAGAAAGTGACGAGAATGGTGACAGATCTGCGAACTTACGTGCATTAAACAAAATGGTTATAGGCGGCACAATATTCCCCCACAAACACATACCCAAAGCTATATGGATCTCAAAGCGTTACACTATGGAGAATCAGATCGCTCATATGTGCAGCAGCAAAAAATTCGAAAGGTCGATATATGACAGGAGAAACAGAAGAGGAGCTTCAGGTCAACGCCCAACGGTTGCCAAGATGGGACCGAAACTAAAGAAGCACTGGACAAGTGGAGAAACAGCAGTACAAATGTTTAATACAGCCTTCTTTCGAGATACTGACAAGCTCGATGGATACATGATAGCTCAAGGCACAAGCTGAATACACCAAAGCAAACAAACAAGTGAAGGAGAGCATTAGAGCTAACGAGAAGAGATATGTGGAAGACCTAGCAACGACAGCGCACAAAGATTCAACAGAAGGAAATATGAAGCAAATATACGACACAACGAAGAAACTAGCGGGGAAATATTGTAAACCATAGAGACCGGTCAAGGACAAAGAAGGCAAGACAATCACTGAGATTCAAGAACAGGTGGGGAGAGCACTTTGAGGAACTCGAAGCAACACACACAGACCTACCTATAGATGTCACTCTATTAATTATCAAAGAAATCAGGATGGCCATCAGACGAATCAAGAGTGGGAAAGCAGCATGGTCTGACAGTATACCAGACTAGGCGGTGAGGTCAGAAACAGAGATACCTGCAAACATACTCTACGTTCTATTCAGAACAAGTTGAGAAAATCAACAAGTTCCGATAGACTGAAAAGAAGGATACCTCATCAAGATGCCAAGGAAAGATCTGGGCAAATGTGAGAACTGCAGAGGCATCACACTACTATCAGTACCAAGAAAGGTTTTCAATAATGTTGCTGAACTTGATGAAAGATTCGGTAGACGTTCAACTTCGAGATCAACAGGTCAGATTCCGTAAGTATATGTCGTGCACAGACCAAAACACGACACTATAAATCATTGTTGAACAGTCAGTTGAATGGAACACGTCAGTATACATCAACTTTCTTGAATTTGAGAAAGCATTTGCCAGTGGATAGGAGAACCCTATGAATCCTTTTCTCACACCATGTTGTACCTGAAAAGATCGTCAACATCATGCGGAATACATAAGACCGACTACATTGAAAAGTTGTGAGTGGAGGACAGCCGATTAATCCCTTTCAAGTGAGGTCCCGTGTCAGACATTTTTGCTTACTATCGACCTTTCTCTTCCTCCTGGTGGTCTACTGAATTACAAATAACTTCACATCTCAGGGTAAGCATGGAATACAACAGAAAGATTGTATGCGGCTAGACGATCTGGACCTTACCGATGACCTAGCTTTTTCATCTCATGCACACCAACGTATACAGGCGAAGACAGCAAATGTAGCAGAAGCCTCTGCATCAGTAGGCCTCAGCATATACAAGGGGAAAGAAAGATCCTCAAATACGACACAGAACACCAACCCAGTCACATTTGATGAAGAAACTCTGGAACTGGTATAAAATTTCACGTACCTGGGAAGCATCGTTGATGAACAAGTGATTCTCACTCGTGATAATTTGACCAGCCAATTCAAATGTGAACAATCAGGGGAAACACTCGGCCAAAACAACTGCCATCACCACGAAGTGTTTAGTTAAACAAAATAAACGTAATCAACAAAAGGCCATGACAGCTTCATATAATCGAATAAAACCAAAATCTATAACTGAAATGAGTTCATAGAGATATAGAAATTTTAAGGATTTAGGTAATGAGGGAAGTACCATTATCTATAGAGAAAATGAAAACCTTTTTAATTCGAGTGTACATCTCAAAGGACGCTTATGCACATGTACACACATGAGTGTGAAAAATATATTAAAGACTAGTCGAAACTTAACACAACACTGTGCCTCATCCGAAGGAACAATTGATATGAGCAGAGAAGTCTTCAACGAAACTGTGCTAAAGAACAATCAATTCATTAACATGATTTTACTTACGCTGATCCTTCACGCCATTATAAAAGAAAATCTCATATCGATAAGATTGGAGATGCCACGAGTATTTGTAGTTTAACAACGCTTTGATCAGATAATACCTAGGTGAAATTTCAATTTTTTCTACTATAGGACCCGCACACTTAAGACCATTTAGTGTCAGATGTAATAACAGCCAGCTCTGCCGATAGTTTTAAAAGGAAACCAGACAGTGGCTTACTAAATCACGGATTTTGAATACAGAGGTTCAACATTAACACTAGAAAAATTATTTTTAGATAGATTACCTAGACCCCGTGCAGCAAAGTATCCACACTTAATTTGCATACCTGCAATGCCTTACTTTATCTTTTATCATATATTTACCTGGAGTCAACATTTTCATCTATTTTTTCGCTTTTTTTGTTTATCCTATGTATTTGGTCTGAGCTTCTGTACTTTCTTTACTGCTCTATATTCTGATTTTACAATGCTCTTACCACAGTCCATCAATCGAACAACAGATAACACGGTAGCTTTTGTTTCTAGTAACATCACTGTTTTGGAATAAACTCACTTACCTACAGTGAATAATCCCAGGTATATTTTTCAAAATATATAGAAAGAAAATACTCTTAGTAAATGTTAACTTAGCACAGTACGTTCACCCCAATAATAAAATGTTTGTGAAAAAAAATATGTTGATGCTACAGGCCACAAAGTTATTGTACATTGAGTACTTTTGTTAAAAGCGCCAAGGTTAAGTATTTCGCTACAAATGTCTAGTGTTCAAACTTCCTCCCAAAGTAATTCATCTGCCTCTGATATGGAAAGTGTTTACAAGTGGGTTGCTTCATTAACCAATGTAGAAACCCGGGAAAGTGCACTCCTTGAATTATGGTATACTGTATTTTGTCTATACTCAGTTTTCTTCGTAAAGTAAAAAAAGAGAGTCGGTACCTGAACTTGCTCCACTTCTGTGGCATTCCTGTGGCTCTATTGCTGCGTTGCTGCAAGAAATATGTGCTATTTATCCTTACATCAATCCACCAAATTTAAGCGTAAGTTTTTAAACATAATTTCTCGTATAAGAAGTTCACGCATGTGTGAAGCTAGTGATTTTTTGTCTATATAACCTTTGACCAACTGCTCTTCGTTTTTGCCTTCTTATTCACCAGGCGAACTTGGGTTTGTTTTTGTCTTTAAGCGGCTCTTCAGCAATTAGAGTTTAATATGTTTGTAATTTCTTCTGTAAAACTACATTTTTACAAAAAGCTACCAAATTGTTAAACAGTAGTTTGAACAGAACAAAAATTCTCATTGACCTCTGTCTTTTTAGATCTCAATTCTGAAATTTAGATCTCACTGTATACCTGATTTCTTAATGTAGATTTTCTGAGCTGGAAATATGTAGACTACTCAAAGTGATCTCATATATGATATCACTATGAGTCATTCATATTACAAAGTCTCAATCAGGCAGCTAGTGTTTAATGCTCTTCACTAGATCTTCACTTATTTTTCTGATGCTTTCGGACCTTTTCCGTTATTTTTTAGGTAATTAAGATGCCTGCTTATGTCAGCGAAGTTAACAAAAGAACTTGTAAAGATAATATCATTTCGCTGGTACTTTACGAACTGTTTGTTCATACAACCCCCAAGTTCTTTTTTGTTTCTCTTGATGCTTTTATTTGATCCGTTTTATTACTCAATTCTTCATAATCACAGTGACGTGTGACCATGTTATTTATTTTTAATAGTTATTCACGACCAACTTTTGAAATACTTGTGCATGTAAAAGTCAATAATAAGGTTAGAGATTGATGTATTTTTTGTCAGCGAAAAAAAACAAAATGCTTCATTGTAGCACCAGTTTAATTATTATTAACTGGACTCATTGTTCACAAATCATCGTAAAGTCAAAGCGCCGAAGTACATAAGGAATTTCAGGATATTTCGAGTTTTTAACGCCAACCCCCAACCTGAACTAGTCAATCCTCTTATAACCTATTTCCAATTGGTGATTTTATGATCAAGAGTATCTATTGGTTGTAATAAGTTTTAAGGATGAATGTAAATCATGAAAAACTTTTGTTAACATTTAAATCAAGGTTATATTTTTCCACTACCCCTTCACAACCATATAACTTAAAAATTACTACCTTGAACGTCTGTTAAAACAATCATTTTCGCCATAAGATCTCGCAGACAAAATTCAGACACGAGAGATATTAATTCATTGACTCGAAATTGCTCAGGTTAATTTTATATGATTGGTGCCTTTTATGAATCTCAATCAATAATAGCAACTGATACACTTTTGAAATTGTCGGAAAATTCCCCAAAGATTCTTTGAGTTCATTTGAAAACCTTTTCCGTATTGCATCCGCTGTACTTTACCGAGAGCTATCGATGACATATTTTGTAAAAACTTAGTGTAGATGCTTTACAACGTATATAATTACCGTTGTCTAAAATAACCACTATAACCCTTGTTTAATCAAAGTACCATAATTGTATCGTCCTTTATAAGTTCACTTAATGTTTCATGATCCCTATTCGGTACTCTAGATTGTAGAATTGATGTTTTAGTGTCATAATTGAGGATACCAACCTTGTTTTTCAATATCCATAGGTTTCAGTTCTGACAATTGTTGTTATAAACGTCCAAGTTGAGCTTTTTTAAATCCTGTTATATTTTTTTGGTTTATGAATTTTAAGTTCTAGGGGGAATTTCTCTGTCTTGGACTTAATTTTATACTCGTTAGATTACTTATGTGCATCTCAGGGTTTGCAAGGAAGAGATGATATTATTATTTTTCTCACAAGTATTTCGACGAATGCATTAATAAAATTTAAGCACGAAGTATTAAGAAAACATATGAACGATTGGATAATCCTGGTACTTCGACTAGAGAGGGGTTCTAGTGAACTTATTTTTTACCAAGATGATTAAATAAGCAAAGTTACACCAATCTTAAGTGATTTTACTGGATTTGTCATCGATAACTCTCAGGAAAATATGGTGAGTGCAGTATGAAAATGACTTTGGAGGAAATTTAAAGAAACTTTAAAAAGGAACTTAGTTGAAGATTCTATTTGTGATGAACTCAAACACTGTGTTCACGATTGCCTTGCTTGTATACCTTACCATTTTTTACGACATTGGTTGTTATTACTTGACTCCGACTCACATTGGTGTTGATGGGTTCACTTCATATATTCTCTTGATTCCTTGATACCATTCACTATTTTCTTCATTTTTAAGCTTATCATTTCATTTACTAAGTCTTCGTCTTTGATATTTTTGCTTGTTGTCGTAAACTATCGAGACTTAAATATATAAACCAAGTAACTATCTAAATTGACACCTACTTTTCACGTACTCGACAAATACAATGACTGTTCACTCTTCAAAAAATATCTCAATGATAATGTGATAGGTCAAAATAAGTTAAAAATGCAAGCTAGCTAGGTCAGTCTGAATATTCGAAAAAGCTCTGAGTTTAGGTCTTTACATATGTAAAAAATGACTTGGATGGATGTGGGATTAACCATTCAAACACGAAGCCGAATTTTGTTGATGAGGATGTGAAGCTTGATAGCTATTTCTGAAAATTTCGGCTGTGCATTTAATTGTAATTGTATTATAGTTGCTTGGTAACTGAACTACTTTTCGTATTTTTATTCATATTCCTAACAACAATCTTAATGTTAGTTCTATTTTACTGTGCTGTCCTTTTGTTTGCAGCACTTATTTGCTGTTTATCATTGCAACTTCATAAGCAATATTAGCTTTAGGACGTTTGTTTGTAAGCTCCATTCAGTATTAATTGAAGAGTCCGATATAAAGAATATCTTAGTAATAAAATTAATCTAATACATTCGTCTTACGGTGGGATTATGGTTGATTTTATAAGACTTCTGTTTCAGATGAAATTATTGGTTCTGTCAGTCATTGTTTAAGGATGCTCATATGTACTATTTGCGCTTCCTTCTATGCGTTTCTAGTATTATACCAAAGTAGACTAGAGCCTCAAATATTGTCACTTTGTATATTTTTATATCAGTGGATTGCCTTGGGGTTGCCTTATGAATTAGGCACTCTTAAAATTTCTTAATTTTGCCTTTAACGAAACTGGGATACACATGTCCGAAAAATAAATATTAATAACACAAAATCAGTTCAGGTTGATTTTTTGGCTGAAGGCATGTCAAAATATAAATTACAAAGCTAAACAAAGGAATGTGTTTATTAATGTAAAACTACTGTGGAGGACGTGAAATGTACGAAATAATATATAAATAATCTAAAGTCACAGAAAGTGGGTTCGTTTCTTTGGTCAGGTTTGGGTTATGTCAATTCTGTTCTTTACTTTTGGACTTCACGACCTTAAGGAAAGACCAGTGATACGTCAACTAATTTACGCCTGTTGCGTTTTGGGAATGAACGTTGCTTTTTAAGTAATCACTTAGTAGTAACTTCCTTGTGAACCTGTCGTTCAGTAGTGTCGGGGTTTGTTCGTTCTTGGTTCAAGCCTATTCCAACGATATTGGTTTAAGAAGTTCGTTAATATTTGATGCAAGTTCGGTTTAGCACTTATTCAAATGCGTGAATAAATTTAACATTAGTGAATAATAATTATTTTACCATAGTGATTAAGTTCGTCCTGTATACCTAATCCAAGTAACCTTTCGTTCGTGCACAGTTCGGATAAACAGTCTTTAAGACCATAACATTGATTTCCGCTATCTTTTCTCATATAAATCACTTAACTGGAAATTTTTAAAACACGTTTTAAGATTGTCGGCTAGCTGCTTTCATTATGCAACACTTTCTCAAGTCAGTTGTGTTCTCAAACTCAAACTATTTAAAGTGTTATTAGTAGAAAACTACAAATCACTAATTCATTCTACCTTCAGTAATTGTTTTTTCTCTTTAGTAACAAAATGTATTTGAACCACATCGGTTCGAAACTATTTCCTTTGATGATGTTTTCCGCACCTACTTTTTCATTAAACTGCTTAAGTTTCGTAGCCTACGGTAATATTATTAATTTGCTTTGAAGTACCTCTGAATTACATAGCCCCATTATTTGTTTCGTTAACGTCACTTGCATAAATGATAGTGTTTTATCATTTGAAAAAAAGTTTATCTTTTGATGCTTTTGTTCTCTAAGGCACACCAATCTAATCGTGTATGCAACGCGTTGGCTCTTCTGCAATGTTTAGCTTCCCACCCGGAAACCAGAAATGAATTTTTGAAAGCTAACATACCTCTTTATTTGTACACATTTTTGAACACAAATAATCGAACACGCCCATTCGAATATCTAAGGTTAACAAGCCTAGGAGTAATTGGTGCACTTGTTAAGGTAGGTGTTTACATATATATCTACTACTTATCTTTAGAATGAGTTTTTTACGTCTTCTTGTTGATTGATGTTACATTATACTCAATTTTGACTGAGTTATTTTTTTATAGATATTATGCTACTTGAAGTCAGTCTTTACCTTATCGATTACTAGTTTATTTATTTGAATACATAAATATTGGTACAAGAGGGCACCAAATATATATGCGCCACACAAAACAATGAGAATTCGAAGAGAAAGAAAAAAAGAACAATAACGAAATGATTAGTGTAAGTTGGTGTAATAATAAGAAGAAGAAAAAGAAGAAGAATGGTAATAATCGGGAAGACAGAAAGGTATAACTGTAGTGAACAAGAACACGGGCGGGGAAAATCGAACGTATTTAACACAAGAATTACAGACTATCTCAATAAAATCTGAATACCATATAGTAAATTCTCAATTTGCAAAATATTCATGCATCAAACCAAAATGGACTGTTTCTGTTACAAACACCAATCCATTGTCTCCCATTCCGTTGTTCATGCGTATTCCATTGTGTTCTCGCTCTTCCTTTCTTGATCTTCCACATTTTCTGCTGCCAGACATCACGTTCTTTTAACTCATGTTATATACTACTCATATCAATATAAGTAGCTCACACCACACAACCAGAAGAAATCTTTCAGTTAAGAAAGATACAACCACATTTTTATGAAGAAAATCAAAGAAGGTTACAGCAGGATCTCCACTGGCTTATATTCTGGGCCATATTTGATAACGTCTCTGCACCCGAACACACGATTCCGAACCTCTGCGTTACTGATATGATGTTGCCACTGGATGTTAGCAATCCTTCGGAGACAGCGATGATCAAACACAGAGTCGTCTAACGTCCTCAACTCGGAGAGGCCAGGTTTCACAAGCATAGAGCAAAACTGCTCTCACTGACGCCTTGTAGATCCGACTTTTTAGAGCCAGACTAACATCACGAAGGCGCCAAAGGTGTCCAGATTGGCATAAGTCGCTCTGGCTTTCACCATACGTGCATTGATCTCATCACTCACACCAGCACTTATGTAGCTACCCAGATACACAAACTTCTCGACTACTTCTATCTGCTCACCATCCAGGGTGACTGCAGGATTAGAATCCTGCCAGTCTTTTAGAAGTACTTTACACTTCGAAGGTGCAATGCACATACCATACCTACGGACACTGATTTCCAACTGATTAAGTGCGGATCGCATGCCTTGGACATTCTCGCACAGTAACCCCACTGCTTGAATGGAACAATGGAGAGAGGTGGTTCTATGTCCTCACTCTGCCTGAGGTGTTTGTATATACGACGTGAACCCTTTTTAAAGATAGGGACAACTATCGACTCATTCCATGACGTTGGTACACTCTCGAGCTCCCAGACCTTTGTAAACAACGTCGTCAGTTCCTTAGTCAGAAAGTCACCACCATCTTTAAAAAGAGCCGGAGGTAAGTCATCTGGGCCAGGTGATTTGTAGCGCTTGAAGAGTTGGAGTTCTTTGCTGACTTCCGCCTCATTTGGTGGATCATTCGTCACCGGCCATGGAGGGCAGGATAGTCTGACCGATGTTGCCGGAGCAGCAGGCCAGTTGAACTGCCCTTCGAAAAATTCTGCCAATTGGAAGAGCTTCCGGTAATTACCAGATGCAGCTGCTGCTTCCAACTCATTAGCACGCTTCGACCACCAGGCTTCTCGCTCCTTACGCAAGCTATGCTCAATTTCATTACGTAACACCAACAAGTCCCCGTCGGCCACCTAAACGACTCTCTTCTGTGCCTAGACGCACGACCTGACCATTCAAGTCTCCGGCTAGTACTACAATATCTGTCGAATGCACTTTCTGGAAAAGAACAGATAACTGGTGGTAAAAGTCATCCTTGATTGCATCCGGGCTGCAATCTATCGGAGCATAGGCGGAGATGACGAAAATACATCGTTTCTCACGCCGATTTCTTCTCACTTTGATGGGACTTTCTAATCTAACAGCACATAACCTACTGTTAATGAGGATCCAATCGATTAGTGCTGCCTCAGCTCTAGCGCTTAGTGCGACACCAACGCCAGCAAGACCAGACGAAGATGCCACAGGGTCCCCGGATAAACGCACGTAAAACAAGCTTTTCGAAGCGACAGATGGAGAGCGAATTTGTAGTACTTCACCAGAGTCTTGAATACGAGTCTCGGATAGACAGCAAACATCGAAATTAAGTCTTTGCAAAGACATAGCCAGCTCTATCTGTTGTCCAACGTGCATAAGTGTGCGAACGTTGAAGGCAGCCAGTTTGAATGGTGCACGTGGTATTAGAGAAACTGCTTCGGTACTCGTACTTGGTGGTGGCATACAATTTCCAACCAGGCAGTGATTCGAAAACGTTTAGATGGAACCGAGTTTCCACCATAGGTCGGGAAGTAAGGATAGATAGAGTGGGAATAAAAGAAGGTGAGTAAATGAAGTAGTAAATAATAAAAAATAATAATAACGTGAGTCGCTTGACTGATAATCGAAGCAAGTATAGTATTTTCCGTAAGTATTGTCATATCATTCTGTTTGTGTGTAGGCTGTGATACTGCCCGGGTGCCCAGACCGAAGCAGGTAGTTTTCTTAGGGGGCCACAACCCGAGCCTTTGACCTTAAGGTCTGACCCACAAGGCAGTGGAGAATTGTGAGGAGATGCAGTCACATGGTAGCCGGTGACCAAGTCAGTCAGTCAGTCAGTCAGTAACAACGTAGAACTTCGTACGTACTTACATCAAATCGAGTTGCCACACCACATTAGCACAGAGATGCAGTGGTCGATTCAAATCCCGTAGTGGTAGTGGTAATAAGAGTATAAGCAGTAATCGAGAAGATTAGTGTTTGGAGATGTTATTTATAGAGTATAATCCAGTGAAATAAATTTGGGAAGAGAAAAAAAGAGACAATGAGGAATCAGGAGATTAGAATTTGGGAGAACACAAAGAGTGTATGCACCTGCGCCATTGCAAACGATTTTGAGCCATGTCATTCAGGGTCTCTAACCATCGGTTGCTATCATCTCGTGGTCCTCAACCAGGTAGTCTACACCTACCAACATGACTCAGTCAACTTGTCAGTGACCTCATGGACTTGTGCCATGTTTTGGTCTGGCCGCCCCTAGCTTTCTTCCAACTTACTCCTATACCACTGAACATCGCACGTCGAAGCAGTCGGTCTTTGGGCATACGTAACACGTGTCCCAGCCATCTCAACTGGTGAAGTTTCACCACTTCATCAATTGGTTTGCCATCCTTACCTAGTACCCGTTTCCTAACAACTGCGTTACTTACTCGATGGTCCCAGGATATACGAGCAATATTTCGAAGACATCTATGATCGAATACTAGTAACCTACGAATATCCTCTACTCTTACCGGCGATGTTTCACTGCCATAAAGTAGGACGGAACGAACTGCTGCGCAGTAAACCCGTCCTTTGGTTGATAGACGGATATCTCGCCTACGCCATAAATAACGCAAGTTGGCAAAAGCTAGTCGAGTCTTCTGTATCCGTGCTGAGATTTCGTCACACACCAAACCACAATGGCTGATCAGACTTCCAAAATAAATGAAGCGGTCGACACGCTCAACTACTTCACTTCCTATCATTAGTTCGGGAGTCGATGCAACCCAATCCTAAAGCAACATTTTACATTTCGAGGGCGAGAATCGCATCCCGAACATGCCTGCATTGTTGCTTAGAGTGGTCAGAAGACTCTGCATTTTGTCAGCGTCTTCACCAAATAAAACTATGTCATCGGCATATTCTAAGTCAACAAGTGAACCTCCCGGTAGAAGTTCAACCCCTGGAAATTTAGATGAGTATTATCTCTAAAAGTACGTCGACCACAGAGTTAAACAAGAATGGAGAGAGTGGACAGCCCTGACGAACACCATTTGAGGTAATCAATTCTGATGACAGTTCGCCATAAGCTCTCACTCGACCAGTTATGTTCGAGTAGAAAGCCTTTACAAGGTTAATGTACTTCTCTGGTACTCCTTTCAGTGACAAACATTGCCACAGAACCTCACGATCAACAGAGTCGAATGCCGCCTTAAGGTCGAGAAGTACTACGATTGTGGGGCGTCTGAACGTGTGTCTGTGTTCTAGAACCTGACGTAGTGTGAATATGTGGTCTATACAACCACGTCCAGGTCGAAAACCGGCCTGGTTTTCTCTAATCTGGTCTTCACGAGCTTTGATTAGGCGTCGAAGTATTGTTGAAGCTAATGTTTTAGACACTCTGTGATTGTCAAAAGAGGATTTTGTCCCTTCTTATAGACTGGCACAATCAGTGATTGAGACCAGTCAGATGGGTTTACGTCCAGTTCCCAAATTCTACCTAAGACGTCGGTTAATCTCATTGCTAATACTGGACCACCATCCTTAAAGATCTCAGGAGTAAACCTGTCAGGGCCTGCTGCTCTCCCTCGCTTCAGATTTCCTATGGCTTTTTCAACTTCGTAAAGGGACGGAGAACCTACATTAACTTGCCATTCAGGTTGACTGGAGATCGTGGGAAACCGAAGTGTGAATGAAGGCCAGTTGAACTGATCCCTAAAGTGTTCTGCCCATCGATCCAATCTCCTGGATTGAGAATGTATAATATGTCCATCTTTCTCTAACATTGTTTAGCTAACGGTCGGGTTCCTAATACCGGTTTCCCTAACAAGTCTGAACAATTGTCCGCTATTACCTATTGCCGCTGCCTTTTCCATCTTTCTTGCTTTCGCTACCCACCACTGTTCGCGATCATTGCGTAGACTTCTTGTCAGCTTGTGCTTAAGCTGACTCCACTCTTCTTTATGTTCAGAGCCCGGTGAAATGAGTTTCCGAGCATCTACCAGTGCGGTAGATGCTGCTGAGATCCAGTGTTTCTCCCTAACCTTCTGGTTTACCGTACTAGCAGATATCACTGCTGTTTCCACAGCTTTTCGGATATCATTCCATGCTGCATCGGGGTGGGCATCACATACATGGCTGCCTAACTGTTTTCCTAGTTGTTCCTGAAATATACTCTTAGCTTGACTATAATTAAACAGGACCCTAAGGTTTCCTTGCAGCGTCTTCACTACGTCCAGTAAGACGCAAGCAAATACGCGCTCGCAATAGAGCATGATCTGAATCTAGGCATGTGCTCCAGAATGAGCGACAGTCTTCTATCGAGCCCCTCCATCGGTGGCTGATAGCGATGTGACCAAGGAATTGGTTCATACGCCATTTGTTCCCGCAGGATACTGGACCTCATGTGCACCATTGATTTGGTTTGGGTTCCGCTTAAAGCGCCGGACATTCGCTTTTCGTCCTCTCATTTTTGTGAACAACACCCCCGCCACGAGAAGGCAGTGGTTAGGACTTCCCTGGCAGAGGCTTTATACGCGTGGCCGTGTGAGAGCATTTCGAGAGGGAGGCAGGCCCACCCCACTTATTTAAGGCTTGATACTTGTTAGATAAAATCTATCCACCATGTTGGACATCTTTTACTTAAATTTAAGTACATGAATATTTGTACAAGGAGGCATCGCATAAATATGCGCTACACTTCATCATTATATTTGTGTGAGTGGTCGGGTACTGTTCGCGTACATAAATGGTAAATTAATTGACTATTACTCGGATATTTTTTGTTTGTGGGATGTAATCAGTGGATGTGGCTTCTCTTCACACTTTACTTATATTGACTGTTTATACTAAATCTGGTGTTCCATGTTGTCACTTTGCGTTCTGCAGTATTTATTATCAATAATAATAAACAACGCGAATTTATGGCACGTATTTAGTAGGTATCTTTTACGAATTAGTTTTTGTTGTATCTCAGCTACCGTGGTATATTTGTTAGTATTAACAAAAATTGACATCTCAGTTCGCCTAATTAGAATCTTTCTCTTAAATTCAGAGTTCTTCACTTAACAGTTTTACAGCATTGGTAGTGGTATGAAGACTTATCATATCTTCGTGTTGTTTAGGACCGGTGAGTGTTTTATAAGGTTACAACAATACATTTAATGAATTCCCCACCTCACTATACATACCTAAAATATTTTGTAATCAGTCTTTGTATTGCAAAGTGTAATCATTCAAGTCCAGTAATTCGTTGAAAACCGCTCGTACAACACCAAATTAAAAAGATAATTGTCTTAGCCTGACACTACGAAAATGTTTTTAAAACTAATTATGCAACATTCTACATATTGCAAGTCTTATTGGACATAACTATCAAAAATAAAAACCTTATGTGATTTAATACAGATGCTTTATTTTAATTTCAGACTGACGAACCAGAAGTTATAGCCTTCTTACTTGGTTCAGAAATTATACCTCTTTGTCTAGTAATTATGGAGTCAGGAAGTGAACTGAGCAAGACTGTAAGTCGTAGACCTTTCAGTCAATTCGATTATTCATCTTCATATTAGTTAGGAAAATGTGGTATAGAATTATAATTTATCAAATCAAGGATTTGGATTGGCTTACTATTTTAAATCTGTGCGGCTGAATATCTTGAGTTTCAAAGAAACTGAATTCGCTTAAATCCACCCTTTCTGGACAGCCTAAATATTTATTCGATGAAATTATGAAATCATTTGTCGTCACATTAGAGTTATATCTTTTGGGTCTATGTTTATTTATGATTTTACAATAAAGAATAATCATTTAAAATTCACATTTTATTTACTTTTTCGTAACCATTCATTTGTTTTGTATATATGTATTTTATCGTCTGAGACTACTTATCTTACTTTATGGGAGGAATCACAGCATTACGTTTGATTATATGTATGAGGTACTTATGTTAAAAAAAAGTAATTGGACGATTAAATCTCCTCTGTATTGATCACTTGGCTTAGCTTCAACTTTATTTCTTGGTTAAAAATTTTAAAATTTAGCTTCGCTTTTAAAGATTAGAAACTCGATGTTTTTACCTTTTAGTTGGATTTTTCATCCAATCAAGAACTAATAAATTACAGTTTAGTAGATTTGATTTATCTGTTTTATCTGATTTCATTTTCATGAGAGTTTCTCAATTGTTTTTAAGTTATATCCGCAAGAATAAGTTGGTTAACTAAATTTTCTTATTATAGTTATTTCTATTATTATCATATTCATTGTAATCTAGGTAGCTACTTTCATTATGCAGAAACTGTTGTTGGATGAAGTAGGCCTAGCGTATATCTGTCAGACTTATGAACGATTTGCACATGTAGCTACTGTTTTGGACAAAATGGTGATCCATTTGGCGAGGGAGCAGTCGTTACGTCTTTTAAAACATGTAATACGATGTTACTTACGTCTTTCAGATGACTCACGGTAAGTTCCTACTGTATGGTAACGAAGATTGTATTTACAATGCAAATCGTCACTAAGCTGTTTAGGTAAACAAAAGGCGTCAATATTAACTAATATGTAATTATTTGTTAAGTCGGCTTGTTTTCAAACAGTTGAAGTTGCTTAGTGATTTAAATATGTATAATACAATGTAATTTTATGGCGCCATCTTAGATACTAAAACAATGGAAATTGTCTTCATTGACCTGTATTCTTACTTCATTACAAAGAAGAGTGTTGTAACTCGATAAATTTCAATAGGTTACGTTGCCAAGATATTAATGTTGGTGTTAAAACAGATCAGACCCAACGAAATAAATTTTGGAAAATAAAGCTACTGACTAACTGACTGAATATGTAAAACTAAGTTACGGATTTTATTTACAAAATATTGAACCATTATAATATGACTGCATTGCCTATCAAATGACAACTAATAAGGATGTCACATCAACCATTAACTACTTACCTCTACCAGTTGTAACATAAGTTTATCAAAAATTCCTATTACGAAAAGTGTTACTAGGAAAATTCAGATCCTCGTTACCCCATATTATAATATCTCTTATTTTAAATGGTGTCTACATACTACTTTGTGATGAGGTGTTATGTTAATGGGTGTTATTTTCCCCAAAAATCTCATATTATCAGTATAGGGTTGTGGAGATTGTTGAGTTTTATTCGACTGAGATCATGAATCAATCATTGTCTCTCTAGTGAGACAGGGATCTACCTCAGACAATGGAAGATGGTCGCGCGATTTCGTGGATTGGTTGAGGTTAGACATCATTGGAAGCCGGCTCAGTGGTTTAGAGCTTAAAGTCCTGGGTTCGAATACCGCATGCAAGATCATGGGTGCACACTGCTCAGGAGTCCCGAAATAAGTCGAAACGCCCGTCCACTGCTTTCAGTGATGGTTTGACATTGGTCGATTCATAATCTCAGTCGAAAAAATCTTATATATTAGGCTTTAAACATGATTCAGTGGTTTCACGAAATCCCTCCTGACATATGTGTTTCTGGTGGAAAAAAACGAAAATGGATTGAGTGGATAATGACAACAAGATGAAACTTCGAACATGTAGTTGGTGTCCTAAAATATTTTAGCTAGTATTAGTTAATGAGTCGTCTCGATGCAAGAGCAATCCTTTTCAAAACATTCCCAAATGCTTTTACTTTGTGGTTCCGTGGTGACACACTTCTTTCACAAAGAAAAAACAAATATCGTAGCAGAATAACATGAAGTCATTTATTTTGTGCCTTCTCCCCGGCTGTTTACAACTTAAAACTTACAGTAGTAATCATTAAAACAAAACAACTGTACACACTCTTATGCTATAGTGACTTGGCTTATTTCAGTATCAAGTGTTATTATTAATCGTTACGTCCATAACTAAAGTAAACAGTCGTGTTTTCCTTTTGAATATCTAATATTATGTATCAGTTTGGCCTTACTGTAATCCAAATCCTAAAAATACCAGCAGTGACATCTCACTAATACAGGCTTATGTAACCGTTCTCGTAATGCGCTCGTTCAGTCAGTCAGCTACAACGTAGGTTCAGGCGCATATATGCATCGGTCCAAGTTGCCATACCTCATTAGCTCTCGTTAAATCCTAATGAAGTTTGTTTTCTCTTCTATGGATCATTAGTTTGTTGACAGATATTTAAACGTGGTTGTTTTTATGTTGTCTTAAGTGGTAACTTGCTTTCTAGCTATTCAAATTATTCGGAAAATAAACTGAACATCGTAATTGGTTTAAGAATGTCCTGAGTGTTTTCTCGGAAGACTAAGAATTATAATTTTCAAGGTATTACTTTTGACTATTTACTTCGTGACAAACAAAAAGTGGTCATTTGGTATGTTTGTTCACATCTCTAAATATAATTTTATCGAATTTCATACTGTTGACTAACCATAAATGTTTTCTCACCCTTTTTGTTTTAGAGCTCGTGATGCTCTTCGAACATGTTTGCCGCAACAACTTGTAGACGGCACATTTAGTAGTTTGTTAGAGAACGACGTCGCTACTAGACGATGGCTTACACAATTAATTCGCCAGTTATCTGTTCGTGCAGTTGGTTCTGCGGCTACATCTAGCACTCCTGCTTCTAGTGTTAGCTCGGTTGATGTTAATACACTGAATACCACAAATGCCATTCGAGCTGCTCTTAAAACAAGTACTATTGCTTCTTCAGTAGTAACCACAGTATCTACTGTAAGTTCCCCTGGACCGACAGTTTCAAACATTACAGGTGCCCCGAGTAGTACATCAGGTGCCCAAGTGTCCACATCTGGTCCTGTGTCTTCCAGCTCAGGTTTAGATCCTGCAGCATCTTCAAGTAACTGAAATACCGTCACACTAGCCTACTCTTTAGAAAGCCGTGCATATTTTATTTGAGATATGCTTAGTCTTATTATATGTACATAATTCTTTCTGATTTTCCTCCAACCGAAACTTTTTTATTCCTACTTCTTTGGTCTAATCAGATGCAGTGAAAATCTTCAGAAAATGGTTAGTCACTTTGTAAAAAAAACTTTCTGGCTTTCTAGCAAATTTGTTCACTTCAAGTATGTATATTTTGCAAGTGGCATTTTCGTGCTTGCTTATTCTGATACAGTTATGGACGTCATGTACATGTTTCGTTTTACCGTGTGAATCTCACATGAGCCGTAAAAACAACTTAACTTGTAACAATCTTACTTTATATTTTTTTATTTATTGCTGCAGTAAAGTGTCGGTATTCGGTTGGGAATGTAATTGTAGAGGAATTAGCTATCGAGTTGGGTCTCCATATTACTCTAGATACTTTTTGTGTAAAGTTTCTTGGTTTCGTTAATTCTGTTAGCTCCAGGTTTGACTGATATTGAATGGATTCCATAAGATGCACTTCGTCCTCATTTAGTTCTTCTATGTTAAAACACTGGAATATGTATTTTTGACAGTGATATCTCCCAGCGCATCTGAAATGAATATCAATAGTTTACTGTAATACCATTTGTTCATTAACTCCACGTCAAAATTTATACAGTACGTAGGTAGTGTGTTATTTCAGGGACTGTAACAAGGTCTTTATTCAGCTGAAACTAATGTTGATCCTAACACCAATTACCAAGTTATTTTTGATAACATATGAGAGAACGACAGAAAATATGTCAAGTCTCATATTAATTTGTCGGTTGCTAGGTCAAGTTATAGTCGTTAATGTAATTAAAACTAATAATAACAGGATCTTAGCATAAAATGACATTGTTTCATATTTTAGGGGTTCGAAATTTCAGTTGGTCGTATTTCTGTAACCGGTGTGAGTGAAGCTTATTTTGTATCCATAAAAATAATCTTTACATAGTTTTGTATCAGTTCTCTAAGTATTAATACAGATTCTTAAGTGAGTCTATAAGATTTCCGACTGTACTGTTCTTAGGTTATAATATTCAGTCAAATTAATCTCTAAAATGCATTGAACAAAATTCCACATGTAACGTTTTCGAGATAATTTCCAACTTGCCTGTATATATTTCCAACTCGGATATCCGGTAATATCTCATCAAAATCATACAAAGCGCAATTTATTGTCTGGACCGTCTGTTTGTTATCATTTTCTTGCAGTACAAAAGATATACCAGGTATATTGGTGAAAGCGTTACCCTTAGATACACACCGTCCAAATATCTCATACACAACTGGGCAGTCAATGTTTTTTGACAAATAACTGCATATTCCCCGTAGTCTTCTTATCTGTATGGATATTACTTTTAAACTATTGTCACTAAATTTATACTGAGAGGATTCTGGGTCCTCAGGCGTAGGTAATTCGTACTGTGAAACAAACTGGGTGGGAGTCTGATACTTTAACGGACGTAAGTAATTAAACAGTGAGTGGATATTGCTCTCGTTATTTCTTGTTGGGACTTTGTGTTCGTCATTTGAGAGGTTGAGTGTTTTTCCATTGTAGCTTCGTTTAGATAAGTCATATTGGTAAATGTGAGGTTTGGCGTTCATTACATTCGATTTAATCTTCGCTAACTGCCAGAAAGTGACGCTAGTGAACGGCTTCAGACTTAAACTTCCAAAGATTGAATTATTATGAATAGATAGTTTATGGAATTTTTATTAAGGAGATAATTTCAGCCCGTTTGTCGCTTTACTATCTACAGAATAAAGTTAAGTACAATTTACAGAATAATTACTTTGTTAAAAAAACTTCAATCGTTTAACATTTGACCGACAGCTGAAGTACCAGAGTCGTCGCGAAAACTGAACAACGGTATTCAAATCGCGCTGTTCGTGGATATTTCTTTAGGCGAAGTATAACACCTCAAAGGTGAATTTAGGTTTGCTTGACTTACTAACGTTTATGTAATCCAATACATGATTATTTTTCTGACTAACATTATACCTTTCTTTGTTCCAAATCATCGGACACATAGTCTTAGTTATGCATGTATTGTAGATAGTATTGTTTATTATAATGCCAAACAATAGGGTTTGTAACTCCATGGTTGAAAAAGAGCGAGCCTTTTTTCAGAAGAAAGCTCTGCAGTCCCTATAGAATTTGAATAAGTGGAGAGGCTGTTAGTTTAAATGGTGTGATTTTTTAATGTACCTTTAAGTAAACTCAGTACGAGAAACCAAATGGTCAATAACATAAATAATCGAAGGACAACATTTAAAGAAGGTTCCTCGATGCTGAGAAATAAAGTGCTAGCCGAATCTTCCTTTGAAATCTTGGGACGATGTCATCGCCATAGCTTCCAGTAGAAAGTACAATAACTTCTTACTACGTTATATATCTCCGAGTTAATCGCCTCTGTACGAGTCGCGAAGAAATTGACTTTTTAATCTGTGTACCCTTTTTGTTGACCTACTTTGATCACGTTTATAGAGCTCTGTCATTCTAAAGGTAAAATTAGAAAATGAATGAGTTCCCAGGTAGTAGTGCTAAGATCAATCAGTTTATGTGATACACGTATTAATAATGTTTATGATCGGTATTCCGAAGTTACCGTCTTCCAATCAAAACCAGCCGAAATTTGCTTTACGTAAGTACCGAACATCATCACAGATCTCTAATTTTGAAATTACGTCTATCATTAGAGTAACATTAATAACGAATCAGACTATAATTCTACAAATGTTTACGTAACCTAGCAGTTTCATTGATAAACAAGATTATCGGGCCAATGTATGAACGAACGTTATGATGTCACAAGCATTCGGAACGTTACAACGCTTAAACCAGCAACACATTTTTAACGAAATTTGCCAACCCAGTCAAGTTATAAGTGATGTTTGAATATACATTTGATAGGCTATCGATATATCGTGAAGTGGTCAATCTAATCTGGCTAGCGGTTATAAAAATGAAACGTACCATACCTGCTCATGATCTGATACAGATGCATAACCGAGCACCGTCAGCTACTTGAGTCCAGTAAAAGTAATACGATCAGCATCACATGTCGAAGACTTACAGAGCTATTGAATCTGGATCTCGCCTGAAGACCTGGTAGGTTATCTCTTAACCATCAGTTCCAAAATGGGTTGGTTATTTGTTGCGCTTCCTTCCATCTTCTGTTATAAAAACACGTTCTAGTCGTCTGTGCTTTGTCGAATCATATACTTCTACGAAGTAACAATATTTTATTTGTCGCAAGTTTATCCAGATTATCACACTCATTAACTAGCCTTACGAGTGGTTACTTTAGCCTCTATTTAAAACGTCTCCAAAGACTCCTCCGGTAGTGATTCTGTCATTCGTCTTCATACATGGCAACTATGACTAGCTCTCGGAAGGTTCATTCACAATCTAAAGAAGCATTTAATATCTTATTCTGGTCCCAACTACACACAAACTGTCTAAGACTGGTTTCAGCTCATCTGACGTTCGAAGCGTTGTTGCTAAATACATGTTTTGGGTGACTCCTTCTTCAACGAACTTCAGCTGAACGCATAAAAATTATTTAATGTTGAAGGTGTGGGCCATTTCGATGTGAACTTCTCTAATAGACAGGAAATTGAACAAAAAGCTGTACCGCTTTTCAGCGAATCGCCTTCTCTCAGCGTTAAATAGATCAAAATATTCTATATCACTATTGGTCTTATCATGGTCAGAATAGTCATCCTAAATTTAACATCTCTGCTGAGGATATACTGATTTAGCTTTTAACGTATCAACACTGGTTAATAAATGGTCAGTGGAGAACTGTTATTTTCCTGTCCGTATAATTCATTCGGGAAACCTATTATCATTGAACATACTGTGCCATCACAATAACATATTCATCATGCAACCTCTGACCACGGATGAGCCCGTTTTTCAAACAATTTAGTCTGTTCTGTTGGTGACGACGGGGTAAATCTTTTTGGTAATGCTCATTCACTAACTGTGTTGATCTGGACATGGCATTCAAGCCTTTACGATTTTCAATTTTTTCTGGATTTCTTCAAAATCCATCTTACATACCTGATCTAATTTAGCTCTCAGTTCATCTTTGGACATTGGTACATTGCACACTGTAAGTACCGTGATATCTTCGATGTCAACGGTTGGGAAGACTACAATGCCATCTGAGATATCGTCGGTACCGCCCTACTTATCATATGTAATCCCTTGACCTCTCATACATCTGGAACTGTGAGTGATGAAGAAAAATCTAAGGTGGAAACTTCTAGCTGGACCTCTTTACAATGAGATATTCTGTAATAAGCAAAGCGCGAGTTTGCACCGCCCTTCCACTATTTTTTCTACCAATACAGGCACTATTGCAAATGTTGCTTATCCTTGTACACGCCTAGTGTATTCCTCCGTAAAGAATTGGGTAATAACATGAGCATTACTATTACAATCTCTCTGTTCCTCTCGCTTCCACTGTGAAATGGTATGGTGTATCCATCCGCAGCATTTGACTGCACATGACCTCGGTGCTCGATATTTTCGTAATATGTGATTCACCCTCAGACAGACACTACACAACTTCTTTAGTGCGAATTTTATCCCTTCAATAATATCCTTGTCTCTAAACCTCCCACATTGGTCTAAAAGTGTTTTTCAGTACACAATAAACATGGCGACCCAAGAGTGCTTGTCTTGCATATAGAGGGACATCAGACTCGTATTGGCGAACGACATTCTCGCCATATACTCTGAATTGAGGCTTCTTTCAGTAACAACGGCCGACTTTATTTGGCTGTCATTAGAATGATCTCCATAGACAAGCAGTCCTTATGTAATATGAGCAATATCCGACTGTTATTTTGCAAATTCACAAAAGTCCATAAATGAAAGCCCTCCTCCCGTTTTAAGAATTTTATATGCCACTTTCACCCATTCTCTTTGTAAGTGCAATGGTAGTTTCAAAGCCGTACTACGGATAGTTTCGTGGAATTCAGATTGGTCACATGGTTCATCTACTTAAGCTCACAAAACTGCACCTCCCGTGACAGTCTACTCATATTATCTGGACTAGTCCCCTAATACCAGAGGTATTCATCGTCTTATCAACGAATGC